ATTTTGATATTATATGTATTTACTGTAAACATATAAGCGTATATAATGCAATAATCATAATCAACTTACTGGGCTTGTAAAACAAGTAGTACTCAAATCCTTTTTTGATACAATAAACATTTTAATACGTTAAAACACATTTGAGCTAATTATGAGGTGCATACCTATAACAAACTTTTACAATTACTTTTGGTCATTCTGTTACAGAAATTTGGGACGACCATTACGATTCTCTTCAGTGATATTACCCAACATCAGGTGGTTGCCTTTGAAATGGCATGTCATTAAGTTGCTTAATTGTTTGGCCTCGGCATGTGGATGTTATTGATCGTAACAGTTTATAGAACACATCACGAAAATGTTTTAAAATAACAGGGGACCATATACATAACTATATCTTTATTGATTCATTTAATCCACCCATGAGGCTAAAACCGATCTTGCTTTGATGTAAAAATGGATTATGATGAAAGCTAATTATTCATCATGACAGTATATTTTATAGATAAAAATTAATTAAATAAGCATGTTCTGCAAAACTTGAAATTGAAATCCCATTTTATGAATTATTTATACCTATTTATGAATAAATCGTAAAAAACATAACTTCAACATAATTGAATTTTTGATTTTATTAAAGAAGGAACAAGGAATTTTTGTATACCAATATTTTAAAAAAAACGGCGAAACTTGGGGTGAATCATTTTCTTTGTGAGTGGTATTTTCTTTTTCAGAAAAGTCGTTCTGATGCTGACAATGCTAGCCCTAATCTCGTGATGAAAATCTCAGAAATGATCTCTGAGGTTTTTTATCTGTCTGCGAGTTTTTGAGAAAATGTTGATGACAAATTGTATACAAACATGTGTAGTGTTAGATACATATCTTTCAGGAATATCAGAAAATACTAAAATATGTCTGAAAGCTACAACGTAAAATTAATCATTTTTGCTCTAGAAACCGATACAAATTAAGAAAGTATTCTAAATTGAAATTTTCAATTTTTTCTATGTCTTATAAATTATAAATTTGACATATGACAAATTGTTTACAAACATGTGCAGATACAAATTGGTCTACATCAGGAACATCAGAAAATGCAAAATATATCTGAAATCTACAAGATTGCAATGCAATATTAATTAATTTTGCTCTATAAACCGACACAAATTAAGAAAGTATTCTACATTCTAATGTTCAATTTTTTACAAGTTTTTATGATTTTTGGTTGAATATGAATTGATCCTTAAGTTTGCATGTTAAACTTAAATTTGCATGTTGGTGAGATACCATAAAATGCTATTGAAAATACTTTAGTTTTACTTGAAAAAAAAATGAAGTACACTTTGAGTAAATATTTCAAATAAGATTGGTATGGAACACAAAAGCTGCATAAGTTTTATAGACATTTTGTCCACTATAAAAAAATCAAGTCCACAAATCAAGATTTGCACCATTTACTTCGTATCTCCGGAACTACTGGATCTGCTTTCCCCAAGAACTTTATCAGTACTTCAAATCAACGTTAGTATAAATTGAATATTATTTTATCTATTCAAATTAGTCAGTCCATTATCGAAAACGTAAAAAAATTATATCCAAACTATCACAATCGGCTTTTCTGGACTAAAATCTTTTAATTTTCTATTATTCAACGTTGTGAATAGGTATAAAGTAGAGGCATTTTATATCAATTTGTGAAGATATATATATATATATATATATATATATATATATATATATACCTGAATGTTATTACTACCCTGTCACCTTTTTGCGATATCTCTATAATCACACCGAACAAGCTGGGCTAAAGAAAAACAAGAAAAAACTTTTTCTTCAGGTACATTATAATAAATCATCAGGACTTGCGACGTTATCCTGTAACTCTCTTGTTTATGCGCATATATAGTAATAAATCACATCCAATTAAAATTGTATTTATCTTTGTGGCACTTGCCCCGTGTATGTTTGCACATAACAGTATTAGGAGTTGATGTATCATATCTGTCACTTCCGAAATGTCATATGCCTTGGAAAAGACACATTGAATTTACGCCACCGACAAGCATATGCGTTTTTTTGTGTTTGTACTTTTTCATCTTACTCCCGAAAGCAAAAGCTGATGAATATTTTACTCAATGGTTTTGTGCTTTATAGAGGATTTATATTGAGGCAGACAAACTTCGAGATTTTTTTCATATTATTTACTTCAAATTCAATTATTCCAAAGATATTATTGTAAACTTTAACGTTATTATTATTTATTTACAAATTCAAATTTATTTTGTAGAATAATGAAAAAATCCAGCCCAGTAATAATAGTAGATTAGAGATAGATTCCATGATTTGAGTTGTTTTAATTTTTTTAAATACTAATAATACTATTGAGTATCCACTATCGCAATTTTCAATCAATTGCAATTTTTTATCGAAACCTAGTATATACTATCAAATTTATAAAAAAAAATGTTACGCTACATACAAAACCAATGCAGTTTTTTTCTACAAAAACGTTGATAAAATTACGCTACATACAACACTAATGCAGTTTTTTTTCTGCAAAAACGTTGATAAAATTATTTTTATTATACATGCCATCAATTATTGAATCGATTAGTTTATCTAATCAAATTTCATAAAATGGATTTGAAAAATTTGGAATAAAACCTACCCTTTTCACGAATATTTGAAGAAAGTCAAAATTTTCGTTACATACTTTTATAAATTTTTATGTGAAGTCATTTAAAATGATTGGAATTTTGGTTAGATTTATTCATATATGGTATTCAATACTGGCTATTTTTATTTCCAATCAACATTTAAACTAGTGGGGTGTATGGCATCGTGCCTTATGGCAACTTGCTGGAACTTCCCGTACCGCAACGAAATGTTCGAGGAATACTGAATGTATTCAAATTATAAATATTGTAACATTGTCTAATATTTATAAGAATTATATAAACTGAATTGCAAAGTTGAAATTATTTGTTTAAAATATATTAGAACTTTAGTCAGAATTGAAAATAAAATCTGATTTATTTTCGATATACAAAACATAATTTAAAAAAAAAAAATTGAAACAAAATTTTTTCTAAAATCAATTATTTTGTTAAAACAAGCAGAAAGTTCTTCGAATCATTTAAATCGGACGCTTAGTTCTCTCAAAAACTGCCATTTTGACTGCCAACTTGAATGCAATAAAAAAAATCAATATATTGCTTACGAGCAATTACGGTTAATTGATTTAATTAATGCAAACAAATTAAATTGCTTCATATTATCAAATGTTGTTGCACATAATTACGTTGATTTTAAATCAAAAATCCTAATTGCAAAATAATAAGAGACTTATTAATGAACTGCCAGTTTTATAGTTCAGGACACTGAAATTTTCCATTATACTAAAATTTTTGGAGCACAATATATATTTAAATAAAATACATTCCTACTATGAAATAATTATATTTGTTTAATGTTAATCCATATTTTTAATATGAATTTAGATTCTAGGGCCCCTTATAGTCTCATCTATATACATATAGATAAATAATATTTTTTTTTGTATCGCATACTTGGAGCATTTAATCACCTTCAACATATAATTCTTATATTCTTATCCTTTTATGAATTTTCAAATTAACAATACAAATAAAAATTCTAATTAATTTTAACTCAACATGACAAATTCTGAATTAAATACTTTTATTTTTAATTTTACTGATTTTTTTTTCTTCTAAGGTACTATTACTCATCTACTAATATACTATTACGCCTTCATCTAATTCTGTCGAAATTTTTTCTTGATACTGTTTTTTTCTTCAATTTTTTTCAATATTTTCAAACTTTATATACTAATGTATTCAATTACAATTGTACTACCGTATACAAACTCGTTATTACAAATTTTAGTCATTTTTTTAAAATATGCTAAGAATCGAACCAACTATGTCTGAGCTATGTCCGCCACATTTAATAAGAGTAATAATTTAATTTAAATTTAAAGTAATAGTTTAATCTGATTGAAATAACTGAAAATTTTTGCCACTTTATAAAATTTTGATTTCATTAAAACAAGCCTATTAAGCGATTTTTGATATTTTTATCATTTGAAGTAAATTGTGACTCTACCTTTGGTGATCACTTACAACACATGGAATTGCGATTATTTCAGAAAAGCTATAAGAATATTTTTTTTGGACAAACGTATGATTTGTGTTTGCTAATAAATCTATTTGAGTAAATAATCCCTGGGCTTTCTACTACATTATTTTCGAGTAACGCCTTGTCATTCATCTGGCAAGCCGGCAAGATTCATTGCCATAATCAAGAGGAAATGTTTTTATCGTCGGAGTACTAAGAATGATCTTCCAATGTCTCCATATACAAACCGGCAGCGGCGTTATGACTTTCGCTGTTTGCTCTGTTTATTATATTTTTTGGAAGCAATTTATCAATGCCACTCTGAAAAGTAATCATCCCTGAAAGAGTGATGTACGACATTTCATGTAATTGGATTCTCTACTCGTGTACATCTGTTCGATTTTCGACTTTTTTAAACTTAGGATGTACTTATCTATGGTTAAGCAATATTTACCACTCAATTTGAAAAAATACATTTTTTCTCGTCAACAATTTAAATGAACAACTATCTCTTTATAACATGAATTACACGAGCTTATATAATTTTCTTTGAACTTTTTGCTTCAAAGCGAAGACTCTCTGAATGGAAGTTGAATATCTGAAAAAAATGAGGAAAGGAATAAATACATTTTCTTGAGAAACTTCTGAATTTAAATTGTAAATATTAAAAGAGTGTGTTAGTGATAAATTCTGAAATCTGAACTTGAAAACTTGTTTTCAACATGAATTTTTTTTATTTTTTAAGCACATAATTTTGAAACCTATATTTAAAATTTTTGAACATATATTAATACTAATTTTAAAGTTTATTTTAATCTTATATATATATATATATATATATATGTTTAATGTTTTATTTTGTCCTTTTGCAGATGCAATATGAATGGCAACTACAAGAATCCTGACGATATGCTGGAATTATCTTTGATTTTTCTACGTATGCAAGAGTCTGAACTAAGAATGGAGGGAAAACGAACAGTAAGTTTTTAGTTTTTTACTATTTATCCGACAATAATTTCATATTATTGAGTCGTTAAAAAAATTTAATTAACTGATAACGTGAGTTAGTAATAGTGACAAATTCGAAAACTAAAAATATCAATCAAAACTGATGTATGCGTTTGGGTATATATTTATATGTATGTATGAATTTGGCACTTTTTGTTTGAAGTAGAACGGTTCAATCGAATTGCTGGAATTTAAATATAGAATCGAATTTTTTAAAAAAAAATCTTTCTTAATTGACACACTTCTTTATAGAAACTCCTTTTTTCCTAATCAACAAAATTCAAAATATAATTTTCTAATTCTCACTAATAATTCGTGCATGCAGTAATTTGCCTTGAAGCACAATCTTAAATCATACTAGCTTAATTTCATAATTAGATAAAAAGGATTAATTTATTTTACTTTCTAAGGTTTCGATATGTTTTCTGTCTGGGTTATATATATATATATATATATATATATATATATATATATAACCGATTCTAAAATTTACATAAAAAGATTTTTGGTAATAAAAATTAAAATAAATTTTGACAACTAAATTAAAGAACTTTGATGTAATCTAATGAAGTGCGGGAGTGAAAATATGTAGTTCTCCGTATATTTTCTTCTCGTTAAAAAGAATCTTTTTATAATTTTATTATCTATCATATATTTTATTTGAGGCCTTTCTGTATATTCTGAAATATTACTATTTTAGAAATGAAAAGCCTTTGTTATATCTGATAATTGTTGTTGATTGAATTATCTGACGTATTTCGCATGCAACCGGTAATTAATATGCAACTCGGATGTAGCCAAATTGTATGTTAATTTAATGTATATATTATAATATATTCTACTGTATCAAGGAAGAACACTGGAAGGTCCACCATGTTGTCTATGTCTTTGTTTATTATTCTAACTTACAAGTACCATTTTTATTTTGCCTTTTTGAGTCGTGAGTTTTTTTTATAATAAGATTTAATATTGATTCTATCATATGTAAATGCTATTTCATATGTTTCAACACAAAAGTTAATCCAGATGATGATTGAAAATTATGTTATAAACAATTTGTGTTAGGAGAAACTAAGTACGGTTGTGCTACTATCATTTTGGTCGGCCATAATTTTAGTTCATCCGTTAGCTGAAAGTAAAGTAAATTAAATGGTGATGTGAATATTTGTCTGAAACATTTTTTGACTCTTTAAAAGCAATGTGGCTTACAGCTCGTGTTAATGTAAGAAACTGACTAAAAGCAATAATGGTAACTTGTTCGAACAATCATACTACATCTTTTCCCCATTTGGATCCTACCTCAAAATCAATATAGTTTAGCAGTTATACTGTCACTTCCGTACTCTGCAACAACCGTTTCCAGTCTTCCCTATTGCTTGATTGAATAACTGAATTGCTATGTACCATGAAGAAATATCATCAAAGTGGATCAAATCATGGAAATAATGTAATCAACATTTTTACTGATGTTTTTGATTTAGATCAATAACTGAAAAAATAATTTGAACTTTAATTAGTTTGCCTAAATATAATTTGAATTATCGTAAGACTTACTTCAATTTTGCAAATAACTCTCTCTACAAAATATTAGTTTGTGTACCTGTGATATTGTATTATGAACACACACTATCATAATCAATGTTTAGCAATCCATTTTCCGGGTTTTGGCCACAATAAATTGCTATGCACCGCAGCAATATATACGTTTATTTATTTCCTAATATCTTGCTAAGCCAATTTTCGACGCATTATTTTAAGTGAATATATATTCTCTATTTGATTAGATTTATTATGATTACGAAGCATCGTCTGTTTATTTTGCGAATAGCGGTTGTAAACTAGCAATGCTATTAACTCGGTCGAGTATTTTAGGGAAATTATATTATTATCGTACCTCTAAAACTGAGTTTATTTGTGCTACAAACATGTCTGTACATTAAATATATAATGAAGAAAGCCACAGAATCGTTGTGGTTTATATTGCAAAATTGCAGACTTTATGTGGCAATCTAGCTGATGAATAATTATATAGTTAATGGATTTATATATATATACGATATGGATATATATATATATATATATATATATATATATATATATATATATATATATATATATATATATATGTATATATATATGTATATATATATATATATATATATATATATATATATATATATATCATAGATTATATTATTCTATTAATTTTCCAGGAATCGATTCACTGAACATACAAAAATAAATATAGTGCTTGGTAATGTCAAAGGATGGCAAAAAATCTGGGAGATAGCACAGTCGTGGCAACAGCTGCTAGTATTAAAATAGTTACACCGCAAAACAAGAGGGCTACAATTATAATTTATCCAACAGGTAAGTCAAATCAGAATATCAGTTCTGAAACAGACAGTTTTACTTGTCTGTTTCAGAACAAAAATTGCTATATAATAAATATATATATATATATATATATATATTAAATTTAATTTTTAAAAAATATGTAAATATTTATATAATTTTAATGATAAAGTGTCAAAACAGTTAATATTAATAGGGGGGGGGGCGCTAGAAAAAAAGTTGCATGCGGGCGCCAAGGGCCCCAGGACCGGCCCTGTATATATATATATATATATATATATATATTAAATATATTAAATTATTAGTACATAAATCATCCCATATTGAAAATTATAATTGAAAGTACGACGATCTGTTATTTTGCTTAAGTTGTATTATCGTTTATTTCTTTGTGATTTGCAATCCTTCTGCAATACCCGTGAGGCAGTGGTGTTGTGCTAATATTTTTTTTGCCGGAACGCTAAAATTTAAAATCCGGTTCAAAAAAATTGATATATTTCGATAAGAACTCACAAATCTAATATATTGCCTTCTTATATAATTAACTCTATTATATACAGCTAGTCTATACATTAAATTGTACAAGTATAGGGAATCATTGAGTACATAATTTATATTCTTTAATAACATTAATTATATTTATTGTGGTATTATTTGTATTCATTAATACTTACAGGTATTTATTATGATATAAAAGTACTCAAGATTTATTACAATACTTTATAAGACTTAACCTAATAATATGAGTGATAACCTATTACCTATCTTACTATACTGTATTATTGTATATCATAGGTAGATATCTATTATCAATCATACCGTGAGATACCTATACCGTCATTAACTTATTATATACCTACATACTTTTATGTTCTTATAAATATTACTGTCTAATATATATTTACCTATATTATATAGGTTTACCTTACGCCCGATGTATTATCTACCTATCTATTGGCTATTCTGGGAATTGAACCCGGGACCTCCGCGTGGAAGTCGTGCACCTTAACCACTACCCTATCGGGTACCTCCATTAATAATATAATATGGGACGCACTGTTGTTTCCGCGGGTCATTTTCTAATTAATTAGGTGATTAATACTAAGGTGGCGCGACGACACGCGAGAATAGACGGTTGATTGTAGCGTTACGGTGGTCTAGTGGCCAAGGTTGTCGCGTGCCACGCGGCTGACCCGGGTTCGATTCTCGGTAGGGTTAATGTATCGTGTAAGCAAAATTATAGGTAATAGGATATATAGTAGATATAGGTTAAGTGTATTCGGTATACAATGTAGGGATTTGAGAGTATGTGATGAAATATAGCGTATGGTATAGATGTAAGGTGTGTAGTATAGAATGCAACGTATAGGCATACGTATAGGCTATAAAAATACACGAATAGGAACCTATGATGTAGGTGTTAGCGTATAAGAAATGCGAATGAATATTAGATTTAATTTATAAATATTATTTTTTCTATAAGAATTTTTATCTCGGTATTAAATATCTAAAATATCCAAAATATACGTCAAGACATTGATTACACCTTACTGCTGCCTTTGCCGTTATCACTTCATAGAAAATTAATTACTGCACTTTTGAACGATTGTGTGCACTGTGCGACAACAGGCATAGAACTATAAATTTTATTAAATGTTTGAGTAATTTGTGCGAGCTGATTTTCTTAAGATGTTCTTAATCTCGCAACTTACTGAATTCTAAAAATTCTAAATTTAAAAATATAATATCAAAATTATTATACCGCTGTCTGGAAGGGATGGCAATTATAAATATACAGACTAATACATACAGAATTTGGAATTTTTTTATAATCCGTAATATTGAGAATGTTTGCATTAGACCTAAAAAGGGATGCTTATTTACCTAAGCTATGGAAATATATATGGAAAAAATATATGATTTGCACATGCATCCTGTGCTCACTTAAACTAAACAATGATCATAATATATTTAACGAATTTTTAACAGTATTTACAAATTACATTCAAATCACCCAAAGCAAGTGGGTTAAAGTCGCGTAATTTTTGAATTTGCCTCTCCACTTTGAATTTAAAAATGGATATTTCTGTGGGGCGTGTGCCCCACGTTGGGAATTACTAGTCTAGGAGTACAATTTTTCAATTTACTACCAGGTTAATTTAATCTACTATCAATAATTGAGTGATCATCAATTCCACAGCACCTTCATCAGATTTTTAAAAGATCAAAGTTTCTATGAATATGCATACAATTTTCAAATTGTAGGCCGAAATTTAGACAATAAGTCTATTGAAATATCAGGGTAACTCTTTTGCTATAAATTGTCAACTAATTTACCAATAAATGTTGGATTGTAAAAATTTACAAGCGATCGAACGGCTTATATTTTTGCCAAAATATTACAATTTTTTGCAGTTCTTATGCTTTTGTATTTATAGAATTGCTTTTTTCGCTACAATCAATTTCCATTATATGAATGTCTTAAATTATTTATTTTATTCGACTAACGCCCGCTATGTCCGAAACAAGTCCAACTTATATTCGAAATAATCGGGCATCAGACACTTTTCGGTCTTAAAGTAACATATGTGAAATTTGAAATACACTACTGTATTGTAATTAATATTTCAGTTCATACACCTCAATTTGTAACTAAATTAAAAACGACTTTGATAAAAGCGTGAGGGCTATTTTCACTTGGAAACATACATTTTATCTACATTTACAAGTGAAAATGCATATTACTGATAGGTTGCACGCATCACAGGAACATCTCCTTATCTTCTTATGTACTGATTTGTTTACATGGAAGTACATTTACTATATAAATTACTTCTTGTTGACAAGAATGGTGCACATGCTTTATAACTATACTTAAAAGCATGATTGAAAATTCAATCATGGGGTTCCTCAATAGAGTATTAAAAGGTAAAATAACAAGTTGTCGTTTCCACGAAAGCTTTGCATTATGTGCAGTGTATCATCACTCCATTCAGTAACAAGTGTTCTAATGGAGTCACAAACAGCTCGTAGGTTGTAATTTTAACGAGTTCGAGTTCAAACCAACCACCGCATATTGCTTACGCATAGAAAATACTGAAGATAACAAGTGCATTTAAGACGCACGGGGAGTCATTTGCTTTATTAGAGAACAGGCTGAAGGTTATTTCATGCGAAAAGTTGTAGAACCGTTTGAATTGAACTAGATGTTGGTAACTTTGTGGTTTTGGAATTTATTTTTTACGGATTTTATTAACTTACCAACGGAGAAGTTTATGTTTTTGCAAAAAATTTTGACGTCTGATGAAACTTTGTATAACGAAAGATTTTGTCGTCTTAAATATTATACTGAAATATTTTAGGCATACGATAAGCGGTTCAATTATAAAAATTCATCAAAATTTAAAATTGCGCTGCGTGCTTGAGCGATTCTAATCAGAATCTATGCAGAAGAAGAATCTGTAGGTGTTGGTGGTACTGGGTACAGTGTCGTCCACACTAAATAATACACATTTTTAAATCTTGAAATGGATGAAATGAAATGTATTAAATAAATTAATGTATAATATACAATTTCGAGATATCTACGTTCCAAAGCTATTAATTTTAAATAATTTTTAATAAAAGCGAAATCTTTAATCTATAAACAGTTGAACATTTTATCTAAATAGCTAATTCTATTTCTTGTTGATAAAGTCCATTCTTTACTCGTATCGGAAAGTTCATGCAACTTGCTTTAAGGCAAAATGCTATTTGCAACCAGTCTTATTATTTCTATCCTTCAGAAATAAATTTATTGTAATGGATAATAGCACTTTTTAATGAAAAATTTAGATTGTTGTTCTTTTTGTTCTTTTACCATTAAAATCATTAAAATATTTTTTATATATATGGCTGAAATATGCGCATATACTGTAAATTTTTAATTTTTTAAATCAATTCGTATATATTCATGGTTTCACATATTACAATTCGTATAGTTTCTAAGTTTTCAACAATCGGCTGCAATTCTTCAATTCTAGTTAATCAAATAGATTTTATATGTATTTAATTTCAATAACAAAATACTTTAGATTTTTTTTCAACAATAAAAGCTAAAGTCGGTTTAGCCGTTTCGGAGAAACGGTTATATAGATATGCGAGAGAACGGAGCATCCGATTTTAATGATTCAAAAAGCACTCGACTTGTATTGACATAATGAAAAATTGATTAAATTTTTGCAAAAGCAGGTCCAAAGATTCTAAACGATTTTAGACAGTCTAGATTAACGGACATGAATGGGTATCAGAAAGTTTTCACAAAATAACATTATTTTTAAACTAGCTGTAAGTGGAATTCTGTCTTAAGGCAATTAAGGCATCGTGCCTTGATGCAAATTGCTGGAACTCCCCGTACCGTAACGAAATGATCGAGGAATATTAAATGTTTTAAAATAGATTATTTTAAATATTGTAACATTGTCTAATATTTATAAGAATTACATAAACTGAATTGGAAAGTTGAAATTATTTGTTTAAGGTATATTAGAACAGAATTAAAATAGAAATCTGAACTATTTTCGATATACAAAAAAAATTTAAAAAAAAATTTTGAAACAATTTTTTTTTCAAAATTAATTATTTTGTTAAAACAAGCAGAAAGTTCTTTGAATAATACAAATCGGACGCTTAGTTCCCTCAAAAACTACCATTTTTTGCACATTTAGCTCTGTATCTCCGAAACCGCTGGACCTGCCTTTGCCTTAAACTAATCACCACCTCTCCCCGTCATTACAAATTGATTATTTTGGATCATTCAAATCGGATGCTCCGTTCTCTCAAAAACTTAATTTTTATTTTCTGCACTCTTTGCTCTTTATCTCCATAACTGCTGGGCCTGCCTTTGCCAAAAACTAATCAGCACATCTTCCTATAGATAGGAATCTAATGTTTTTTGAACCATTCAAATCGGTTTATCCGTGCGCCCGAAAACGTGGACGAAAAATTGACATACATACACACACACACACTTTGAT